ATAACTTATACCGGTACAAACAACTTGATTCTTACATACCTTTTCTGGTAGCGATTCCATAGCCCTTAGTATCTAGAAGTCCTCCAATTTGTGTTAAATTGCAATCTCTTTCAATATTATACTCTATGGAAGCGCTTTCCCTACAGAAAGCAAACAATTTCTAGACATCAGGTCATTGAGACATTTGGAGATAGAAAAGGGCTATAAATACATGAGATAAGCATAGTTTCCATTGCTATTGCGAACTCGTTTGATGCCATCGGCATTGGATTTGGTGAAAACCGATGGGTTATTCTTCATGAAGTTCCACATCCTCTGATGCATAGGTATCTTGGATTCAGCGAAGAATGCTTTTGTCGAACCACTTCCTAAGCAGCCGTACTTGATCTGTGTCTGACTCGCAAGACTGTCTGCATCTTCTATCGGATAAACCACTTTCTCGACCGTCAGAAATGCGGCCAAATTGGCGGTGTATGAAGAGATCATTATCAGTGTGAAGAAGTACCAAATGGCTGCCACTGTCCGCGTAGACATCGCTCTACCATCACAAACACAAACACGCATATCAGTGACGAGAGAGAGAGAGAGAGAGAGAGAGGGTACTTGGGCGAGACAGCTGATCCCTGTTGCATCATGGTACCGATGGTAAATGAAAAACTGTTGATGAGACTAAAGTTATTTTCGAGGACATTGTCTCCTTGTCTGCAGGGGTGGGGGTCATCCCATTCATCTGTTTATATAAAATATGTGTTAAACGAAATAATAGTCAAACAAATGGGAGTATTGTTTGATTACATGGAGTAAGTCGGCCCACAATGAATAAAATAGTAGAGACACTGATATAAGCGCCCAAAACATATATCCAGACAATGTTTTGAAAGGGTGACAGGAATGAAAAGAGCGTGGTCACTTTGGTGGTCGGCTTTTTGAATAGAATACTGATCCCAGTGTTCATAAAGGGTTGAGTAAAGTCTACGGCGTTCTCGCGTTTCAAAGTGATGGTCAGGTCTACGATTGCAATGTCCGCTTCATTTCGGATTAACTCACCTAAAAGACAAACCATATTATCATCACTTCAAACAAAACTATTCATTCATTGTTTCACGTCTACTGTACTCTTCTCAACAAAATTGTTATCATTTGCTTGTTGTGAAGCAAACCTTAAAACTCTTATTATAATGTACCATAAAATTCCGAGAGATATCTGATCTCGGTGTTCATTATTCTTACGCTAACAATATTTGTATATGTTTTGAAAGTCTATGATGACTATTGTGCTAATAGTACTGTATATGTACTGGATATAATGTATCAATATATTATAAATTTATATGATAATATACTGTAATGTAGTAATCATGGTATTGATGGAATTGACAGATTGGTGAAAGTGTTCAATGAGTAGAGGTATGATTAAAATGCAAGACAATGGTCGTACCAATCATGCCGTTCCACTCTCCACTTTCCTCGTCTTTGATACCGTATGCGCCGTCGGAAACCAATTTGAATCGATAGCTAAATCCCATAATTTTGGAGATCTCTTCGATGATGTCGACCGCGAATCCCTCGAACTGTTCGTTGCCTGTCCTGGAAATGGCGCTCTCTTTGAACATAGTGTAGGGCTCACTGAGGGTTGTGGTCACCGTCAGCATCACATTCTTCATCGAAATGGCTGAATAATGGCCCATCATTTCAGAGTTTATATACAAACTACTGGTGCCGTTTGATTGTCCACTTTGTGTCCAGTGACCGATCTATCAAACAATTGCTCCAATTATTACATTTAATATTATTGTCATTTACCAGTACTGTATATACTATATACTGTTTTCATGTATTCAACTCAATATGTATTCATTTGACACATCTTTCGTGCATTTCTCAATACAGCGACAATTAATTGGATTTGACTATAAGAATGGAGTGATTGTCTTAATGGCATACCTTTTGCAATCCATCAGTTGTAATGGTCATGACATCCAATGCGAAACTAGCCCTATAGCCCGACTGGTCAAACCCTACCAGTCCTGTGATTCCTCTGAATGTAATCTATTGAGAGGACAATAGAGAGTGTCAATGAAGACGTGCCAGCGTTTGGAGACAATAATTATAACTTAATTTTACAATATATATATTATTATCATAGAAATCAATTAGAATAAAATATATTGCTATAATATAGTAAGGGGTCAATTTAGAATATTGTATGTCCAAGGTAACTCTTATAAACAGGTGTAGATTTGACTGGTTTGCTCGTAAACCATGATTTACTATGGAATATATTATACTGATTGTGAGTATAATATAATATACTCACAAGGAGCCCCTATTAAACCCCCGCTCAGGCGTCTCATATTTTGGTATTTTATAAGGGGTGTGGAACTGCTTAATAATAAATTTATATATTATCTGGTTGCATCTGATTATTTCTGGCCACATCGGTACGCAAAGTGTTTCAGATAGCATGCACAATTTAATAAGAAATCACTGAATTAACAAAATTTTAATTGATAATTTATAAAATAAATAAATAATAAACTGAATTAGATTATTATTTTAAATTGTTAATTGAGTAAATTAATGATATTTCATTAAATTGTGCATGCTATCTGAAACACTGCATACCGATGTGGTCAGAAATAATCAGATTCAATCGGATCAAAATATTTATAATTAATGAGTCCCACACCCCTTATAAAATATGCATATATGAGAGGCTTTGAAAGAACCTTCTGTTGAATGTAAACATAGAATTTATAATTAATAGATAATAATGATTATCAAATGAAATCATTTCTATAAAAGCGTTGGGAAGGGATGGGAGAGAAATAATTGCTTAAAAGACAGATTTTGCAAATAAAGAGTGAAAGCATTGTATGAATGAAAGGATGGAATGGTTTATAAGGATAGAAATGAATGAATACATACGGGTCTCATATAATTGATTAAAGAGCTGCCATAAAGCCAAGGATTTCCACTTTCGCATGAAATGGGTTGTATGCCATCCACTGACTGACTCTGGTCTAAGTCCTGTAGAGCTGTGGCCAGCAGTTTGACGCCATCGTAGATGAGAGCAGATTCCGTCTATAGGTATACATACATACCATACCATACCATAGTTGCAAAAACAAATATACCAATCAATTATAAAAAATGGATAGATATGGAGTTTATTAAACGTTTGTTAAATAATGAATGAATTACCAGAATATGTTTTGGAGGCAATAAATGTTTTTTGCCTATTTTCGAGGCCAATGGTGTCCATTGAGATAACAAGTCTTGCAGTTCAGGACTGACCACATCTACCAAACGAAAGGATGTAATCTTTGTGTTCCCAAACTTGAAGTCCTCCAAATCGACTGAATGCAAGTCCTTTCAATTATATCATTATATTTTAATTCATATTCATATCATATGTATATTATAATGTTATATTACATATTCAGTAGACCTATACTGTATAGACCAGTAAGTTTCAAAAGTAGGTAGCATTCACATTTAGTAATGCTATAAGTATTATTATTTGTAATAATTTGTAATACGTGGAACTGGATGGTATAGACTATACATCTTTTTAAAAACATTATGTACAGTATATGGATAGTATGGATAGACATATAACAAAATGAGAATTTTTGAAAAATAGAATTTACTATATTTAATACTTTTATTAAACTTTTATTATACAAAAATGGTCCCATCAATTACTATTATTCATTATGAGTGTGCTTATTCATTATAAAAGTTTAATAAAAGTATTAGATACAGTAAATGCTGTTTTTCTCATTTTGTTATATGTCTATCCATATACAGAGATATCAAAAGGAGCCAGGTTACCCATTGAAAAGCAGAACATAAAAATATTGACATCAACATACTTGAAATAAAAATACCTTTAAAATATAATTATAAATTCTCTATCTAAATATCATAATATAAAATAATTTAAACTCATAATTTAAATTATAAACTCGAATAATGAATTTGTAAGTATTGTAAACATATAATAGAATAGAAAGAATGAAACAAAATATTTTATTTTGTAAAATAGAGTATAATATTGAAAGAGATTGCAATTTAACACAAATTGGAGGACTTCTAGATACTAAGGGCTATGGAATCGCTACCAGAAAAGGTATGTAAGAATCAAGTTGTTTGTACCGGTATAAGTTATATCAGTACATTATATGATAGTATGTACATTTCTACACGTGTTTATAGTATCTATAATATACTGTAGATTCTATAGATACTATAGATTCTAAACTCTGTAGAATAAATTCTATATTATACTAGTATTAGTAGAATAATTGTGTCTGATATGTATGAATAGACTCCCCGTACAGAAACCCATTATCACACGCTATACTCAAATTACACGAGAATGGAGTTCTGTTGCAATTGAAGGACAGGTGGTGGAAGCAAAAGAAAGGTATCATTACTACCATTAAGACTATTGAGTTGTCATTAGCTCTATCACTATCACTACTTGACTGTCAGGTGGAGGACAATGCGCTGAAGAGACCAAAAAGTCTTCGTCCGTCAATAACCTGAGCATCGATCACGTCGGCGGTGTATTTGTCGTCCTCTTAGGTTAGACTAACTATATCTTTAAATATATTCTATTAACTGGTCTTTTGTAACACAATGTTAATTATGTACTTATATTATCTTTATAATAGAAATCAATTAAATGTCATGCAATTTATTTAATTTTATTTGATTTATTGTTATTTTGTGACACCATAACTTGGTTTATAGATTAATTGTACAGTATGCCTCGAGTCTAAGTGGGCTCTGCACTATTAAAACAGTTAATTGACCATTTACTATTTTTCATGGGTTTTGAAAATTAAATTACTAAACAATTACTAATGCTATCTTGATCAAATGAAATGGAATTAGAATAATATGGGGTCTGTTATTTATATTTTATAATCTCCACAAGGGACATGGCAACATGAAGACTTTTTATTTGAAAAATAGACAGTATTTCTAAGGTTTATTGAAATAAATTCGGTAGTGCTCAAAAAATAACATATTTATTTTGAATTTAAAAATATCTTTAGAAATAACAATTCTGCGGTTTCGCAATTTGCTTTTAATATTTAATGTATAAATCTATAAATAATATATAATTAATTTAGTATATCATTCATGAGATATAATACTAAATAAACACATTGGTATATTTTTAGATATCGAAAGTAATTGAAGCATGTATGATACAATAATATTATATGATACAGAATAATCCTTCATACTACGTGCTCATACTGTATTCATAAAACATTTAAACTTACAAAGTTAGTTTGCTTATTCATACAAATATAAATTTATGATTTTATGTTCAAAATTATGTTGGAATATTTATAAAAATTTTATTTTTGTATGAATAAGCAAGCTATAATTGCTAGTATTTCTAACTTATAATACTAAAAAGTTTTGTATAAAACAACAAAAAGACCAGGTTTGTATAGTACTATTTACAGTATTTATATTATGAATAAGAAGCATCAATACCTTTATATTAGGCGGTCTGTCCCTATCGTTTTTGGTCGCTATATTCGAGTTCATATGGAAGGCTAGGAAAGACACCACAAAAGAGGTTTTATTTTTGCAAATTATTAACAATTATCTTATAATAAAATTTTATTTTAAAAATATTTTCCCCATAATATTGAGTAAATTATCAAAACATTGTGTAACATTTTAAATCAATGATTGTATCCATACTGTACAGTATGTTACATAACAAATTCAACCATTTATTTGTCTGAATTACATTTTATGCTATCGTAAGATTTAACTAAAGATTAAAAAGTAACTTACATATGGACAACATTATAAACTTTTAATGTTCAACAAAAAAGCTTACGATAGCAAATGATTTTTTAAAAAGTGAAATACAGTAAACGGTTGGAGTTTTATGTTACATAATAAAAATGAAAGCATTATTATATTGTAATGTGCATATTACCACATTATTATCATATTATGCAGAATAATGAAAGGTTTACTCTCAAAAGGCCTAAACCCCAAAAGACTTGAAACCGAAAAGGCCTAAACTCAAATAACTAACTGACCAGTGAACATATTTTAAATTTGATTTGTAGAATAGATGTGTCTTAACTTAACTTAACCTAAATTAAATCAAATGACCCTTGGTCAGTTAGTGATTCAAGTTTAGGCCTTTTGGGTGAGTCCCTGAGTCTCATAATGAAATCCT